GGGACCCTCCTGGGCAGCAGAGCTTGTGCCCACATGGCAGCAGCTGCCTGGGCCTCTGGGTTTCTCAATGCTCTGCTGCACACAGCCAATACATTTTCCCTGCCCCTGTGCCAGGGCAATGCCCTGGGCCAGTTCTTCTGTGAAATCCCTCACATCCTCAAGCTCTCCTGCTCACACTCAGGATATCTCAGGGAAATTGTGCTCCTTGTGTTTAGTGCCTGTTTGTGGTTTGGCTGTTTCATTTTCATAGTTTTCTCCTATGTGCAGATCTTCAGAGCTGTGCTGAGGATCCCCTCTGAGCAGGGACGGCACAAAGCCTTTTCCACGTGCCTTCCTCACCTGGCCGTGGTCTTCCTGTTCCTAAGCACCGGCATATTTGCCTACCTGAAGCCCCCCTCCATCTCCTCCCCATCCCTGGATCTGGCCCTGTCAGTTCTGTACTCGGTGGTACCTCCAGCCCTGAACCCCCTCATCTACAGCCTGAGGAACCGGGAGCTCAGGGATGCCATAAGGAAGATGTTTTCTCGATACTTTTCTAACCCATCAAACTGTCTGGTTTCTTGTGTGTAGCATTCAGAATTGGGACTCTGTAATGACCTAGACTTCCTACTCCGGTTTTCCAAAGCGGTCATCGGGTTGATCGTTCAGTAATTTTCTGTGAATTTAATATTCTTATGCATCTGCCTTATAATTTAGTGTCCACTCATTGAATTTGACCCAGAGATGTATAAATGACGAACTGTGTTCTTGGAGGATTTAAACAAAATAAAGGACCCTGCATTTCCTTCTTTGTCCAAGACCCTTCTTCTTATCTGTTCCTAAAGGACAGCACACTGCAGGACCGGGGGGATTTGCAAAGTGGAAGGGGACAAGAATCCCAGCACAGCAGCACTGCCAGGGAGCAGCAGAGCTTGGGCTTTTCAGATTTGCTCTTTCCACTTCCACACTGTCCTTCTGAGCACCACTGGTTTACCACTAACATAGTAACTTTGGATACACAGCCACACATGTCAGAACACAATATGTTAGCATTCTTGACAGGAAACCCATTCTGTGTCACAGTCCTTTCTGTCTGTCGTTGACCCTCTGCCAGGTGTAGGCATTCCATCTTCGGTATCTCAGCTTACAGAGAGCCCAGAACCAGCTGGGTTCCCCCACACCAGTCTGCAAACAGGGCAGCAAGGAGGCTTGGCAGAGTTCCAGACTGCTCAGGCTCAGCAGGGAAGGTGACACAGCAAGTCCTCCTGCAGCCACTGCCAGGCATGGGAAGGACAAGGCAGGGATTGCAGAACCCCTGTGGGAGGGAGAAGAAGGGGATGTTGTGTGATCACATTTTATCCAGGCCCTTGACATGGTCTCCTGTGGTCTCCTTAGAGCCAGATTGGTGACAGCTGGACTGAAGAAGTGGTAGATGTGATGGGTGGGAAATTGGCTGAATGAAGAGTGTCAAATAAAATCCATGGAACAAGGTTGTTTTGGCAGCAACTTCTTGAGGAGATCCCTCAGTGACCAGCTCTTGAACACCACTAGAGAACATCTATATTATCTCTTTGTACAGTGGGACAAAATGTATTTTCAAGTACTTTGTAAATGATGCCAAATATTAGGGAGGCCTTGAGCAACCTGTCCTGCTTTAAAGACACATATTGGGGTTTGAACTCCAATAAAATGAACTCACTCCCCTTTTATTCCCCAGCAGTCCAGGAAAAAAAAAAATACAAGGAGGTAAAAGTGAAAATATAACAGTAGACTGACAAGGAATACAACAGCAAAAACAACAATACCAACAGAACAGTTCAAAGTAACAGCAGAGAGAGAAATTGCCTCCTCTCTCCCACCTTGTCCCAACTTCCTTTTGCAAACAGATCAAAATAGAGATCAACACCTGCCTCCCTTCCCCCTTTTCCCCTGAAGGAACAAAGAACAAAAACTAAACCCAAGGGAAAGATGGAGCAGAGCAAACTCTGGGATACTCTCTGGTCTGAGCTCAGCTGTGCTGCCCAAGAACACGCTGACTCCAGAGGGGTCCAAGCGGGGCAGAGCCGGCGACTCCGGTCCGTGCGGTGGGAGGGGGGGAGGCAGCGGCTCTGCTTGATTCCATGGACTGCTGGGCAGGCACAATGGCCCCTTGGTTCCAGGAGATTCCACAGTGTCCCTGCACTACTTTGGTTCTAGGAGGCCTGGCAGTGTCCCAATGATCCCTCGGTTCCAGCAGGTTCTGCAGCATCAGAGTGGCCCATTGATTTCAGGAGATCCCACAGTGTCCCAGGGTTCCTTGGCTTCCCTGAGGCCCTGCAGTGTCACAGTGGCCGCTTGAGCCCATCAGGTTCCTCAGTGTCAGAGTGGCCCCTTCATTCCCAGAGGTTCCCCATTGTCCCAATGGCCCTTTAGATCCAGGAGCTTCCATTCTGTCCCAGGGTTCCTGCAGTTTCTCTGAGGGCCTGCAGTTTCAAAATGCCTGCTTAGATCCATCAGGTTCCAAAATGTTTCAGGGTTCCTCTCTTTTCTCAAGGCCCCGAGTGTTTAATGGCCCCTTCATTGCACAAGATTTCCCAGTGTCCCTGTGTTCCTTGGTTTCCAGGAGGCCCTGCAGTGTCACAATGGCCCCTTGATTCTAGGAGGTTTTCCAGTGTCACAACGGCCTCCTGATTTCAGGGGTTTTAGCAGTGTCACAATGACCCCACTATTTCATCAGGTTGCCCACTGTCCCTCAGTTGCTTTGGCTCCCTTAGGCCCTGGAATGTCACAATGGCCCCTTGAATTTATGAGGTTGCAGAGTGTCATCACAAAGCTGAGCCCACCCAGATGGAAGTTTGGGGGAGTTTGGAGGTAACTGGGCCAGGGGAGCACAGCCTGCAGCACAGATGGCCAAGGGCTCTGGCAGGGCTGCAAGGCCCAAAGGCACCCAGGCCTTTGTGCCCTTGGCTCTGGCAGCTGCCTCTGCCCCTCAGGC